ATGACCCTTCCTTAAGTGTCTGCTCACATCTAGAGAAATTAGCCACTGTTATGGGTACAAGTTGATGACCTGCCACAAGTGACCTTCCAATCTTCACATCTGCTGGCCTGGATGGGTCTTCCACTGCTTCCACAAACATTGGGCTTCCAAGGGGATGTTCTTTTATTCTACTCCAAATTATCTTCTCTGATATAGGGAGTATTGTAGTTGACTTAAGTGCTGTGACATGCAAATCAACAGATGCAGCAACGCTTACTGGAATTTGGCCTTTGTTGTTCCCAATCGTCATTTTATTAATGTTAACTACACACTTCCTCTTTAGTAAGTAGTACAACCCTAATATGCATTGGTCTTCAGTGTCAGCCAAGTATACTTTATGTCTGTCCTTTATGCCCATGAGCTCAATAGTTACCTACACTGGTCCCCACAATCTTGCATAATGTCCTGTTACACCACAGAGCTTCTGTATGGCTTCTGGTACTCCATTGTGATCTAGCACCTTGATATTCACAAGGGTTTGCTGAGGTGCAGAATCTATGACAAAGGTGCACTTTTGGCCATCCAGCTTTCCTGTCACGTAGACACTATGTGTGCTTGCCTTTTTACACTTAGCTGTTGGGACTTTCACAATGGGGGTTGGTGGGTGTGCCTCAACACCAACCACTACTGGTTTCCCTGAGGATGACTTATTGGTAGTATTCTTCTTACAACGGCTCCTCTTTTGTCCTTGCTCTCCACAGTTCCAACAACCTTTCTGGGTAGCAGCCTTTCCTGATGTGGCATCTTCCCTTTGTTGAAGTTGCTGGCATTGAGCTCTCTTGTGTTCAAGTTTGTTACATTGCCAGCAAAGTCCCTCAAACTTTTCTGAAAGCTGCCCTTTTCTGGCCTTGAATCCTGATGAATGTAACAACCTTGGTACCTCTGTGCTGGACTTAACGTAGGCCCTTTTCTGGCCTTGAATCCTGATGAATGTAACAACCTTGGTACCTCTGTGCTGGACTTAACGTAGGATTTCAATTCAAGAGCTCTGGCCATTGCGTTCTACATAGTAGAGGGGTGTGCTTGCTTTACTTGTATCTTCAGTTGTGGACTGTCCAAGGCATCTATAAACTGATCCCTCAGCAACTGCTTGAGGACATTGGGTGGCGCAGTTGGGTAGGCCTTGTGTGCCATACTTTTCAAACCCTGTGCCAGCTCTTGCAGGCTCTCCCCTTTAGCACGGACTCTCGTCCTAAACCTAGCCCCGTAGACTTCAGACTGATTTTGAGTTCCATACCTGATTTCTAGAGCAGCTATCAGTGCTCTATAGTTGTGCCTGTCGTTTGCTGACAACTGTCCAAGTATTTCCAGTGGTCGTCCCTTCAAGCTCATTGCCCGGTACACTGCTTTCTGCTCCTCTGTCCATCCATTCATTTCTGCCAGGAGCTCAAATTTTGCTCTATATGCTTCCCATGGTGCTTTCCCAGCAAATTCCTATGGCTTACTTCTTATTAGATGAACCTTATTGCTGACACTCATATCTGGAATGTGACTTCTGGCAGGACTGAAGATGTCTGCATTAGGGTTTATCTGCGGGGTCTGGAAGGGGCTTCCTGTTGTATGGGGCTGATTAGGTCTATGGCTAATATATCCTCCCTGTGTAAAAGACACTAAATCGTCCTTTAATGTATTTAATTCACTAATCTTTTCCATTTGTAGTTCTTGTTTCCTTTCTTTTTCCAATTGCCACTGGTGCTGGTTTTCTTGCCACTGCTGTAGTTTCTCTTCTTGTTTATTTTCCTTCTCCTCCAACCACTGCTATAGTCTATCTTCTTGTTTATTTTCTTTCTCCTCCAACCACTGCTGTAGCCTCTCTTCTTGTTTCTTTTTTTCCTCCAACAACTGCTGTAATCTCTTCTTGTTTATTTTCTTGTTCTTCTTGTTTCTTT